CTATTATCTATGGCCAGGTATCGCGGGCCAGACCCCACCCCTTTTTGGGGTTGGGATGAGTCTGGCCCCAGGCCTGCAGGATAGAGTCTGGCCCCGGGAGACTAGACTTTTATTCTAGTGGGCGGGGAACTCCACCCAGCAAGCAACAAAATTCTTGAAGATGCCTAAAGTTGTTTCCAGGAGTATAGTATGTACTGACACGAGAGATAGGGAGGAATATGAAGGAGGAACTCCTTTATATGTCTATCATTGCGTCTGTGGACATCTGGCTATGATATTAGGTAAATTGTATTGTACTGGGCCATTAGTAATAATTGACAAAATATTGTATGAATTAATCTTAGACTCGGTGATGGATAAGTTGCCATTAAGGAGACATGACAATGCAAGGGTTGCTGATGTGGCTCGTAACACTTATAAAGTATACTGTGAATCAAACGGAGTAGTTTTTATTAAGAGGTAATGATACATGTGCTTGTGTGGGATATTTGTTGTACATGTACATGTACATATAAGAAAAATTTATAAGCATCTTTTTACTATAAGTTTTTTTCTTTATTTTTATTAGGCCTGAAGGAATTGAAAAACAGTATCGCCAAAAATGCACACAGTTAGTCTAATTAAATTATTAATTAATTAATTGATTGACTCCACCCACAATTTTATTAGGTGTGGCCTTAATCTTTTCTATCGACACTCTGATGATGAAAGAGTGACCTTTATATTTGACCAGGCACTCGTTAAAAGTGGTGAAAAACCAGTCAATGCTCAAGCTACACCAGCTGTCGATGAAAGCTCTTTACCGAGTAAAAAGAGAAAGGTTAGGGAGTGAGGATGTGCATTAATTAGAATTTGTAATTTTTTAATAGGTGATGATGACTAAACATACTCAGAACAGTGGGAAATTTAGTACTGTGACTGTATCTACCATTGATGAAGAGGAGGAGGAGCTAGAAGCTGTGAGAGAGAGGGAAAGAGAGAGGGTGAAAAAAGAAGGGAAAGTGTAATAAAGAAGAGCAGATAGAGAGAGAGAAGAAAGGTGTGAAAAGTACATGTAGAATAAAAGGCATCACTTTGTGCTGAATTAGTTTAATTTGTAAATTGATTGTTTTTCTATAGCAAGAGATAGCTGATTCTTATGCTAGCAATGCAATACTGATACACAAGCAGATCACAAGAACTGATGAAGGACAGAAGAGATACGCTGGACAAGTAAGCATTATAGTACATGTACATGTACCTACTTACCAGATGATAAACCAAACTATTATATATTAGAACATTATGCTATAAACCTTTTTAAGTTTCAGATGCATAATTAGTGATGTCCTTGTGCTATGTTGAAAGTTTGAGCCAATTCCGACTTAAGTTTTTAAAGTTATGGCCATTTTAAAAAATGTACAAAAATCTGAAAAATACCCTGTACTATAGCCCATGGTTTTTTCCGAAAAATGACTCCGTAATCACTCCCAATTTTTATTACATTTTCTGATACATATTGATCTCCTTATGCTGTGTAGAAAGCTTGAGCTAATTCTGACTTAAATTTTTTGAGTTATGACCATTTTTAAAAATTGGCCAATTTTTGAAAAAATTTCTGTACTATAGCCCATGGTTTTTCCCGAAAAATGACTCCGAAATCACTCCCAATTTTTATTACATTTTTCGATACATATTGATGTCCTTAGGTTGTGTAGAAAATTTGAACTGATTTTGATTTAAATTTTTCAAGTTATGACCATTTAAAAAATTGGCCAATTTTTAAAAAAATCCCTGTACTATAGCCCATGGTTTTTTCCGAAAAATGACCCCGAAATCACTCCCAATTTTTATTACATTTTCTGATGCATATTGATGTCCTTATGCTATGTAGAAAGTTTGAGCTGATTCCGACTTAATTTTTTTGAATTATGACAAAAATATTTGCCAATGACTAATTAATGTACATGTAAGCTTCATTAGCTTATAATATTTCTACTCATTGATTGTCTTGTGCTGTAGATTACTTTACGTATTTTTAATTCACTACAGAGAGCTATTGAAGACTACGTGAAGGCAAAGAAGCAAAAAGGAACTTTGATTGATAAAATAACATAATTCTCTCCCTCCCACATTCTTCTTTCCTGCAAATGTTTTTCTGTAATCACGGACAATTAAAAGTAAAAATACAGTATGATTTGCATTTTACTATTAAAACTAGTTACAGTGTTAATCAATTTACACACAGAAGTATAATTTGTTTATAAATTATAATACTTCCACTTAAATGCTGCCATAACCTGGTCTACTGTTTTGAAAGCTATTGCTACTGGAGCTTATGCTCAAGGAATCGGTCCCATAGACCTCACGTTTTTTGAACTCATTTTCATAATAGACCTCAGCAATCTGATGGGCACTGAACACATCACCTTGAGAATGTAACTTATAGCATCGGCTGAAGACTAGAAATAGTATCAGACTGAGAAGCATGACGATAAAGTTCATGACCAGTACATACGCTTCACAGCTTGGCACCAAATACTGGCTGACTGCTTTGAACGGTTTAATCATCATCCAACCAGCCATTCTATACAAAGCTCCTAGTGAATACCACAAACCTATTAGTAGTACAGTCATGTTTTGTGGAGACTGAGCAAAAACAAATTCTAAGCTGCCAGGCATGATAAAGATAATCCCAAAAGCATTGATAGAGTCTGGTATGAGGAGATAATAAGAAGTATCCACAAATAAGGAGCTTGTGTTGCTTGATACAGTTTGTAATAGGCAGACAGTCTCATTCTGTTGAGTATAAGCTGGAATGGTTACATACAAGTCAATGGCCACATAGCCTAGTTTAGCAATGACTGTTAAACTGATGCCTACTCCAATCCTTTTCAGCATGCTCATGCTTAGCTGATTAAAGCAGTATGGTTTGATGACCCATAGGTATATTGGCACGCTAAGGAGAGTCACGCAATACTCAATGAAGTAAGTACCTGAAAGAAAGCACTGCTTTAGGGACAAGTCCTTTTGTGAAAACCGTCCCAATGTCTGATAGGGGAAATTGATCATCGTTATTGTGAACACCAGTGGCAAGAGGCGAAAGAATGTTTTAACACTCTCGACATCTCTTTCTAAAAAAGGCCCGCCGTATTTGGTTTTCCCCAAGTTGATTCTAGACGGTTCTATTTCTTCCCAATAAGTGAGTGCAGAGCGTTTCAATGGGAATTTGTGCTTGAGGGCAAAGTTTAGTACACCGGCAATGAGCTTGAGTGGATTCTCTGTATATCTGTAATGTATGATCCACCTCTTCATAATGAAAGCTGTAATAATGATAACAAGAAGGCATCCTAAATGACCACCAATGGCATAAGTATCGAATGTTAGTTTTTTGGACTCGAAAAGGCAAGCACTGACTGTTGTTATCATGATTCCTAGTGTAGTGCACCAGTTGTGCCACCAAACGTAGCTGCTTAGCTGATCTGAATTTGAAGACATGTCTATGAGCTGCTCTGTCCCCAGGCAGAGGAGGAATACCTCGAAATAGCACCTCGTGTACAATAAAACAGGATTTAGCATGTATATGAAGTATGGGATTATTCTAAGTGGGATCAGTGATGATGAAAGCAGGACATACACCAGTGAACAAACTGCCCCAATGATAGCACTGATTATAGCGACATTGAGACGACCACACTTGATATCAGCTATGAGGCCAAGAATTGGTAGAGATAGATAAATGAGAATAGTCAAAGCACTCTGTATGTTATCATACAGGTCCTTTTCTTTGTGAGACCAGTATTGAATAGAGTATAGAATGGCTGGATCAAAGGATCTCACCAAAACAATCCACAGCAGTATGACAATGATGGTACTCCTTTGTCTCCTTGTAGTGTCCATTAGCTTTGAACTCTCTTTTTTGCTGAACTTGTGTCAGCAGACAAATGTCTATGTTTATCGTTTGTGAATAACATCTCTCATGAGTCATCATAATGAAAGAATCTTCCCGAGACAAAAAATACGTAACCGATTAAGTCAATGCATTTTTAATATTGTGGCTACTTTAAAATTTATTTTTAAGCTGCTCACTCTCTTTTTTTATATTTGTACTACACTTAAATTCTGTTATCACCTAGCTTGTTTGCTTTTTGGCAGTTTGGTTCTTAAAATGCCTCAATAGTTATTCTTTCAAGCGGCGTGTATAGTTGAAAATGAAAATGGTAACGTATGCAAACAGCAGATGCAGGTGAAAATAATCTTAATGAGGGCTGCGCCCCCAATTTGTACAAACATAATTTTAATGAGTAAACTTAAATTTCTTATATATAAGATAAAATTTTTGGTTGCACTATTCATTCTCAGATGCCATGGCTAAGGTTATATTTCTTCTGCATTTCGTAATTTTAGTTCAGTCAAGCTCCCCTACTAATATTAGTGTCAATACTAATGATGAACTGGAGAGGCTCTTGTGTGATTATCAACCTGACCTGTACAGCAATGATGTTATCATTACACTCAATTCCACCATCACTCATGAAATCAGCTCAGGTAATTTCTGTACAGTTAATATCAATCATTCCCTCACTATCCAAAGTGATAGTGTTAATTCTCTTGCACACGTAAACTGCACACCAATAAGTACCAGAGATATTGATACATTTTGGACAAGAGGTTTTGCATTCTATGGTATCAATGGTTCCCTTACCATGAGAGGTCTCATTTTTAGCTATTGTGGTACTAACCTCACTACCTTAAATAACGAGTCCATAGATCGTATTAACTCCAGTTCTACTGTACACTTTACTCAATATCAAGCTGCCGTACTGGTTTTCACTGATATTGGTAGTCTGTATTTAGAACACATGCATTTTCTGCACTACAATGGGTTTGCAATTGTTGCAGTTAATCTCCCAAATGCTTCTCTTGATTATCTTAACGTTATGTGGTCCCATAATCACTACTTAGCCGGTTTTGCACACATCAGTACTGGAAGTGGAGTATTGGTGCTTTTCACTAACCAGACTGCCTTGGAAAATTATTCAAGGTATAGTGTAAGCATAATCAATTCCAATTTCAAAAGAAATTTTGCATTTCATCAATATTGGTATGAGAAGCATTGTAATTCTGGTATTTATCATTTGCGTAATTCCTCATTCCCAGTAATTAATGCTGCTGGTGTCACATTACTGTATACACAGCATCATATACCTGCTATTGTTAGCATTTCAAAAACAAAATTTTCATTTTGTTCGGGATATTTTGCTGGTGCAATGTTAATCATTCGCTTTAATTTTCGACTTGATTCACAAACAATTATTAAAGACTCTCTTTTTTCTAACAATTCATTAATATTAAAGTGTCGCGGAGCTGCAATTAAAACTTCCTTCATTTCCATTGAACATTATTATTCACTAAAGAAAATTTATCATTTAACAATCACAAATACTCTTATTAAAAATAATGGAAGGCCATACCTTGAGAAACAAAAGTGGAGTGCAGGAGCAGTGCATATTTATGTGTTTCAAAGTTTTATTCGCTTTAAGCCAAGAATAAATTTTCTATTTCGAAATATTTCATTTATTAGGAATGTAGCCCAAAATTATGGAGCTGGCATGTATGTTAGTGTTCATCCAAGCAGCCAATCAGATGTACATTTTGTAATGGAATCTGTTACAGCATACTACAATCCTGATTCCGAAATATTTGACAAATTTGTCAATGTGTTTCTTCCAGCAAGCATTTTTTACTTTGTCAACATATTTGAGATTAAAATCAATGGGTCGGATGCATATCCTAGCAAATTTTTACTAAACTATGGGTCCGTTTTTGAAATAATAAAATCAAAAGTTGTACTTGAAGGAGTGATATCTTTTTATAACAATACAGCTAATCATGGGCCTGCATTTCAGTTGCTTGAAAATACTATAGTATACTTACAGAATGGACTGAGAGCTAACTTTACCAATAATAAAGCGAAATCATTAGGAGGAGCCATTTATGCTACAGGTGATGTATATACAATAAGTCAATGCACGTTTGAAGTAAACGCAAAAACTTATAAGAATATTAGCATGAGCTTCATTAACAATACAGCAGGAATAGCTGGAAATGCTATATATTCAGAGAAAATTTTTTCTAACTGTTATATAGATTATGCATATGGAAATGAAGGAACAAAAAGCGTGTATGGAAGGATTTTTAAAAACGCTTCTTCAACTGACATTGTATCATTTGGTGCTTATATAGTAGTGTGCAATAAGAAGTTTTCATATGCACTCTATCCTGGGGAGTTGCTACAAATACCAATCAGTGTGAATGACAGCAATCATCATCACACATTTAGTGTTTTAACAGTATCAGTTGCTGAAAGACAGGATAATCGACTAAAAGACATTGACTGGTTTTTTAATGGTAAGCAAGCTACATATACCACCATTATTAAGGGAACAGCCAATTGTGCAAATATCAATTTGACTATTCACACAGCTCACCTATCAGAAAGTAATAGGAGAGGATGGCTACTTTTTAGCATATCAAACCCAAGCACAATAGTTGGAATAAGAGTCACACTTAATAATTGTCCACCTGGTTTCCAACTAAATTCTGCTACAGGAGCCTGTGGCTGTTTACCAAATTTCGAAAAAATTGTCAACCATCGTTTAAACGAAAAAGAAGTAAAGTGCAATATCAATGATGCCAGCTTAACCAGATCATACAGATATTTATGGGCTGGCTTAGGCAAAAATGGTTCACTTCATTATAGCTTAAACTGTCCTCCTGGCTACTGTAACATTCACAGTCGTCATGACAAACTAACATTTAATGATACAGGCACATTTGCTACCTCATCATCATCAAGAGACTTGAGACCATTGTGTCATGGTTCACGAACAAGTGATCTTTGTGGGAAATGTATCTCCAATTATAGTGTAGTGTTTGGCTCTACCATCTGTCTGATGTGTACCAATAAATTATGGCTCATTTCATCAATCATTTATATAATAACTG